CGTTTCTCTCGTCTCTCTTTCAGTGAATTCCCAATTCCGGTGTCTTTTAGCGCGAAATTCTTTCTGTCGCTCTTTTTCTCAACTTTTGGTTCACTTTTTACACTCTTATTGTCGACAACTTTACTGTCGGTTTCGATACTATTCTCTTTGGATTCTAAGGCATAGTCCTCTTCCATGAGTTGTTGTACGTCGAGACCCATTGTGGCCCCGATTCTCAACTTTGCCTTTTGAAACGTTGCGCTCAGTTTCTCCTGAACCACATTAATGCACATCGAACAGTTGCGGTCTGGTTTGTCATTCATATATTTGCATGTGTAGTACTTATACCCTACAAACCCGTGTATTAGTGGCTTTGGTTACCAGCTGTCTCTATATATCTGTTTCATCTTCCTGAGCTTCTTTCACCAGTCTTCCCATAGCTTATCAAATGAGAAAATATTCATTAAAAAAGACTCATTTAAAATAAACTGAATTTAAAAAGTTTAGTGATTACAGTGAAGAAGGCGGCGCCGATCATCATATAACTGAGTAACAGAATAACGGCTACACTTATGGGTAGATTAAACTCGTCGTCGACTTCAAACTCTGTTGGCTCTTCATAAAAACTGCCGGCCGTCTCATCGCCGCCGCCGACAGCAGTCGATGAGTCGGCGTGTGATATGACCTGAGATAGGGGTCGAGATGTGGACTCTTTGGCCGGAGAGACACTTCGCGAACGACTTTTACTCTTTCGCCTGTCGTTTGGCTTTAAATGAACGCTTGAATTGTCGTCATTCTTGTCATTCTTGTCGAGCAAATTGTGGGGCAATTCTGTCATCTTTTCCAACGCATGGCTNTGGCCGGAGAGACACTTCGCGAACGACTTTTACTCTTTCGCCTGTCGTTTGGCTTTAAATGAACGCTTGAATTGTCGTCATTCTTGTCATTCTTGTCGAGCAAATTGTGGGGCAATTCTGTCATCTTTTCCAACGCATGGCTCATATACTGAACGAGAATACAATTAACGAGTGTTTAAAGTTTTTTGTTGTTGAAAAATATAAGTTAAATAAATAAAAATTTTGTTTTTCTCATTTGAATCTAATCTTAGAAATTGCAGACGAAGTGAATATTTAAAGAGAAATACAAAAGAGTGTATTCAATACCTGAGTCGGCAATTTCTGAGTGGCTTTTCTGCCAACAGATCTCACTTTCCTGATGTGTTTCGTATAGTAAATCACACGACAATATTTGAACACAAATTTGATGCCTCGTGTGAATAGTTTTCCCAAATCAGTCAAAACCATCAGAAGTAGAGGAATACCAATGAATGCATAGATAATTGTGGCCACTCTTCCGGCATCTGTTTTTGGTACGACATGTCCGTAGCCTTCGATGTAAATTATTAATTTGTTAATTACAATAATTAAACAATTCATTGTTTAGTATTTTCAAACATTACTATGAAATAAAACCATTGGTTGAACAGAATTAGTGTACAGATTAATGTATAAATTAAATTAGTATCAATTTAAATCATTTAAACCACAAGACAGTACTGTAATGTATATAAAATAACAAATACTATTTGTAAAGTTACTATAGTAGTTTTATATACCTTAAAGTAATAATAACGTTTATTATAAAGTAATTTTATTATAAAATATATTAAGTTAGATTTTTAACCACAATTCAGATATAAATATGTGGTTTATACTGAAGGGTCGTTCGGATGTTGATTGAAAAAATATTTCATTAAATTGATAATAAAATAATAAATGTATTATTATATTAATCTAATAAATATGTAATTAATTATATTATTGTAATGAAATTAACAAACAAAATGACAGTAGTATCTAAATATAATATAACTGAATGGTATAAATATGTGTTGGGTACATAATACCATGCTATTTGTTCAAATATACTCTCGATTACTAATTTACTAATTAACTGAATAGTGAGATGAAAAATTACATTACATTTTAATGGCTTCCTTATAATATATCATTACTTTAACTCTAAGTTTAACATTATTTTCAAGTTATGCAAAACATTTAGTTCTTCACAGACAACCAGAATAACGAGAATTTGCATACTTTATAAATAACCGACACTTCTCTACACAATGTGTAAATATTATTAAGACTATCTTTATATATGATTTGTAAATTACATCTGAATTAAATTTTACATAAAATAATTTTATTTAATAATTTTTAGATTTCTCATAAAAATGCAATTACAGTGTTATTTAAAGTAATACTAATTTTAATTTAAAGTGTAGAATTTAAATTAAAATAATTTTATGATCTATTCAATTTGTCTCATATAATAAGTCATATAATAAAAATTTTAGAAATATAATTGAAAATCTTGTGTATAATAAATGATTTATTACAACACTTTTAGAAAGTGATATGTCTTTGTGTTTATTATTACGGAATAATTTGAAAGTTTTGGATCAAATCCTATTCATAAGAAAACGTGATTAAATTAATCTAAACTTAGTATTATATGAAATGTAAAAATAAAATGCAAGCAATTATTACATTTTGGCTACACATCAAAATTAGCACACAATCGGACACTAATCTTGAAACTCAAATTTTATTATCAAATTATGGATTAATAAAATATTTATATAATAAAACAATTTCAATATTACTTGCAATGTGTTGTACTGTTTTAAATTTGGTTTTTAAAAAATTTTATTCATAAATAACTCAAACATTTAAAATGATTGAACTACAAGCAAATTATTATATGTCAAATAGATCTACAAAATGAGATAATACTCACCGATTGTGGTAAATATAGTAGAGCTGAAGAACAACGCGTGCCAAAAGGTCCACACCTCTGAAATACATGTATTGTTTTTTGAAAAAATGCTTTACAATAACTACAGGGCTATAAATTATCGTTACTTTTAACAAACATTTAGCACAAACTTCAGGACTTATTTTTAGAGTTTTTTTCAGTTGAATTAAAAGATTCAATGATTAAAAGCTAATTTATAAAGTAATTTACAGAAGAGCTGAATATCAGACTGTATTTTATCAACAATTGTATAATTCTAGAAAATTTCATTAGTAATAACAATACGGATTAATTGTTTGTTTTGTTTGTTTAAAATTAACTATAAATCTTTATACACTTTATACATGTGTTTATGAATCACTTGTTTTCTGCCGAGATTTATGCATATATTTATAATATTTTGATTATTTTCGGGAACCATAAAGAAATCTATTGATGAGATGTATTGGTTATATTTCACGGTTTCTTATTTCCACGCAATACTGCATAACAGCTGAAACACATTTGCGTGAAAGTCATATGGAAGAGAAGAGGGAGGACTAAACCCCTGGTCTTTTTGTCGCACTTATTGATTGAGAAATGGGACACAAAAAGTGAGATAATTTGTTATTTCAACTATTTTTAGTCCATTTTACGGAAACCCCTAAACCTAACCCAAAGTGTTTTTGAGAAACATCTCCTTTACTGAACTCGTATTAACAGATTTTTTGACAAAAATAATATATTTTAATGCAATGACTGTCAAAATATAAATTATTGAGAATTAATCAGTGGATTATTTATTTATTCAATGAGCGACTCATAACAGCCATCCATAACTCAATAAAACAGTCGACACTTATATGACAACCGAATTATTCAAAGGGATATATTTTGAGATCAATCGGAAACTCTAACCTAAAAACGAGAGTCAGTTTTGTCTAAAGGATTCAATTCATAGGCACTGAATATAAGCGCATAAATAATAATAATAATGAGACTCTTTGACGACAACTTTCTATTTCGATAACATTATAACAACTCTAATGGCAAACACTTATTGAGCTCTCATTTATTGAGTGCCAAAAAAGCGATAGTCTATTGATATTTGAATAACAAATGAATCGCTAAACGAATGAATGGATGAATGGATTTACTTTTCTCTGAATCAGTTGTCTGATCGGCAATACAGGCCTCATGTAGTTGTCGTTCAAACTCTTTCATCCGTATTTTGGCCAACTTATCCCACCAGCCTTTTGTGAACTTCTGTGAACTCCACCACAACTCACGGATTATATTCTCTCTCATAGTAGTCACTGATGTCTTCACAAATAGCGGAATATTAAATGAATAACAAGAATATCAATGTTTTATATGTCGATCGTTTGATGCATACCTTGATATTGCTTTCATTGGGTCCCTCGAGTGTGACGAAGACATAGGCGCCCAGAAAGCCGTAGAGAACCAGAAATATTAATAACAAGACGTGTGAAAACCATTTCTCACTAAATTGTTTAAAACTTTCGATAACTTTGACAAATTTGGACTTTGTTTCGGAGCTCAATGAGACGATATGCATGGGATTGAGAACCCATACCTTTTCGGTCCCAAAGTCCCTATTGAGCCAAATCTGTTCCCTCGAAAAGCCAGTGCCGGGCGTAGTTGTGGACAAGTAAGACAGTCTCGACGACGACGGCATTTCACACGATCTACTTTTAAAGGCAAC